CATCTGAACAGAACACCTCTGAGCAGTAGTTCTTTTCCGTGAGCCTTGGTCATCTGAAAGACTAAAGGATAGCTAAGCTCTGTGACTGAAAAACCTGGACTGCTTTTCTACAGACGAACACTCACTGAATCCATCAAAGCTTCAGGCAACAGTGGACGTGTGTATTCATATGCTTTTCTAAATCTGTTCCAAGCTGATGAACAGCCTAAATGGATTTTAAATTTCATAGCAAGCTTAGGCTACCACTTTGCATCTGCACTGGCTCCCATTCAGCCTAAGAATAATTTAATACTTTAAAGTATGCTTCTGCTCAAAAGATAAAACTGCACAGAAAAGACAAAGCATTTACATTTTTGAAGGAATGCACTTTTGATTCCTCTGCTATGATCCCAGTATTAGCATTTTCAAAGCTTACCCCTTAGAGGGCCATAAAAATAAGACTACAAAATGCTTCCCCACTACTCTAAAATCAGCCCTCTGGAACAATCAGATGACCGGAACCACACACAGATGACCTGAAGATATTTCCACACATCACATGACAGTTTCAAGCTATATCAGACGCTTTAACACTAAACAACATCACTAATTTGAGGATAACTGTTTATAGACCACCTTTGTTAGTGACCTTGTTTAATCTGCTTGCAAGCACAATTCCTTTATCCAAGAGCAGAGGGCATGAATTATCACCACTGTGAAAATCCCTTTTTCAGTTGCTTTTGGTGACTAGCTGTGTTTTAGGGTCAATTTCATCTATATTTAGATGATGAAGCTTCTATAAAGCTCAAGTATTTCTCTGTTTGGCTTGTATGATGAAGGCACTTACCAGTGAATGGTGGTTTTCTGGCAAAAATGCTGGCTTAGGGTAAATAGTTGAGATGTGGTGCTGGGCTACATACCCCTGTGCCAATTCAGGGTGTTTCAATCAGCTGTGCTTGTACAGGGCAAGTTGGGAACCGGGCTGTGTCCCCATCCCATGACTAAATCAAGTCAACCTGCCTTCAACAGTGTTTTGGGTTTTTTTTTTTTTTCCCCAAAACAAACATAGAAAAGATTCCAGAAATTCAAGCATTTCGTGGGGAGCAGATTTAAAAGGAATGTTTGAAATATACACACCAAAACAGCAAAGAAGGGCCTGGAGACATGCCACATTCCCCAGTGTGCAACAGACTGCACAAAACCTAATAGCACCATATGAAGATCCTCCTACATCTTATTCCCTACTCCTTTTTCTGCTGCTTCTGGCCTCCATCCCTAGCCAAGTATTCAGGTGACTGTTTTTTCTTGGCCTGGCCACATGTACTAGCATCACTCCAGCCTCTCTTAGCATCTGCCTCTTGGAGAACTGCCTTTTTTGCCCCTTCCTCCCAAGGGACAGCTCCACCTGGCCCCAACACTTGTGGTCTGTGTTTGGAGAGGTCCTGCTATCTCTACCAGCTGATCCCATTTTCAGCGGCACCATCTGTCTGCCTCCCTCCTTGACCACTTTTAGCCCTAAGGCATTGCTTTCCTTGGTCACACCAAGTAACACAGCATCCTCTCTTGGCTAGAGGCTGAGTTCTGACTCAATCCTTTCCACTCATATTGCACTATGCAACTGAGAGCAGTGGAAAGATACACAGTAATAATCACAGCGGGTTCATAATGACATACCAGCACCAGAAAGGCTTTGAATCAAGTTATCAGTGCCAAGCATTTGTAGTAGATTTGCAACAATGCTATGCTGTGAGCTAGATTTGGGTGGCAAAATAATAGCTGAATGTGTCATTTGCAAAGTGTGATCATTATTTCTGTGTACACACACCCCCAACATATCTGGAAATGCAGCATGTAATTGATGAAACTCAATTTTGATTAAATAGCTCTTCTTAAAATGGTGTACTATCAACAAGCTCTGAGGGTTTCAGAAAGGGCTATGCAGGCAGGCAAGCACTTCCATACTATTTCCTTTACATGTATTCAATCTGCCTTATTGGCTAGGATATTATACTATTCTAAACAAAAATATAAGGCACTTTCCTATTAGACCTCAGAACTGATGAAAATTTTTCCATGTACTTAAGCTTCCATGCAGCATCCCACTACTGTAACTACTATAATCAGTTTTGTCCTACAAATTGCTTGCAACAGCTAACGCACCTGTAGACTGCAAAATGAATTGTTGCAGCTTAGCACTGAGGTGTCTGGATGTACAAGGCAGCATTTGGATGTATGAGGCAAATCAGAGGACTGATTTTACTGATCGGACTTCCACCTCTTGCCCTTGTTAGAAGCTATCTCCAGAGCGATGTAGGTGCAAGGAATGGATCGGACACAGAGGCGACAGAGGAGTCCTTAGAACATCAATACCTCTGGGAAGCTCATGTTTGCAACCAAAACATCTCACCCATTGACAAAGCTGACTTCTGTTCCCCTTGAGATCTTTAGCTTTTGCAATGTGCAGCAATCGTGTTGAATTTTTCAGTGTATCAAGATGAATGCAAATATTGAGGTCTCACTTGCCAGCACTCCCACGGAGAGCTTTGCCAGAGTGCAAGGACATCCCCACTACACTGCCACACTACCAGTTCCCAATGAATTAAGAATGAACCATGCAGCTTCATCTGGGTACCAAATGCTGCTGCCAAAAGGCTTGTTTTGATGAATTTCAGACACCCTGGGAAAAGTACACTTAATGATAAAACTACCATCTCTGCTGAACACCACCTGAAAATCCAATTAGAGATCCCTGAGGAGAGCCAGCGTAAGAAGGAACAGGCACCATCCCATTTTAGAGAAGCACAGATGAGAAGTTATACTCACACAGTATTTATTTCACATCCCTTTCTGTGAATGCCCATTTTCTGATGCTGAACGCAAAATACAATCCCACATCACTCAATGGGAACACCGCCTTCAGCTTGTTCAATACCTTGCACACTGGACAGTTGCTCTGCTCATTAGTTAAGACACCCAGTGTCGTGGTTTAAGCCCAGCCTAATCCTGCCTTTTTGCTCCAAAATGAAAGTCGTCTGTGCCCATATAAACCATAAATTAACTTCAACCACTGTTTCCTCTGCTGGAGATAGGCATGAATAGCTTCCTATATCCTGAAGTATCAGAATAGAAAAGAGGGACTTGAGCTTGTCAGAGGCATAATGACTCAGTCTCTCATTAGAAGCCACTATTACCAGCAACATCAACTGTGGCAATGAAGTGTTGAGGCTTATGCACCGCAGAAAAAATACTGGTCAACCAATACAGCTTGCTTGCATGAAGGCTTTAAGCATCTGTACTTGCGTCAGCAATAAGGTGTCAGGCTTCCAGCTAATTGAAAATCTCATTTGTGGTAATGCAGGAGTAGGGTTTGTGTTGTAATAAGTTATCTTGAACAGAAGGTACTTTTCCCCTAACTGCATAACAAAGCCATTGTGCTTTTGATGTGTACATCAGCTATATTGAAGTATGACTAGAATTGGTAGAGCATCATGCATCCCTTACAAGATCAGGACCTGTAAAAGCAAACATTTAAAAACTCTTACACAGTCATGCCTTGATAGCAATGGATTTCATGGTGCTAACAATAATTCAGTGTTGAAGTGACAATAAAATAACGATAACCACACATCCAATACATATTACAGGATGAATGGCTAAACATATCTTACAGAGAACATTACATCAGATAACTCATGGTATAAAAGAAATACTTGAGTGATGTTTTTGGAGCAATTTTCCCCCCAAGTGAAGATCTGAGGCATCTGTCATCTACCAAGCTAAGGAGGCTGACAGTGCAAAAGAGAAAACCTACTGCAGCTTTCATTTCATATGACCTGTAAAGAGAATCTACAAAACACCAAAGTTCTAATGTTTCAGGAGCAACTATCAATGACAGACAGGCATAAGAAGCATTTTTCACTAGTCACATTATTGCATATATTACCCCAGTTTTGAAATGAAAGAAATCCCAGTATCCCCAAGTTTATCAAAGACTGAGTTATATCGAGGAACATACCTTTGAGATGTTACTAGAGCGGCTCACGGAATGCCCCAAAGCCTTCTCATTCTGGAAGAGGAAGAACAGGATCGCTGTTAGCACCAGTGATCAGCAGCAACAAATCACAGTTATGAAGGTATTTTAAAACTGGTATTAGAAACCAAATTCCATGGAGAAAGACTTACAGCTGCGGCTTTTAAGGATGTTGCTTCTATTGACATGAACCTGATTTATGCTAATCACTAAATTGCTTTGTTTGCTTAACAAGATATTACCTTGCATAAAATCACATAGGCAAAACAAGTACAAACTGAGAAATACTAAATCAGTGATTTATTCTCTCTATGAATACTGCAAAACCCTTTTCTCAGATGGCAGCCCTGCTTCATCTATATCTAAAGGCAAACATCCAACCACTAAAACTGAAAGCACGTGCTTAAAGAGAAACAAAAGTACCACAGTGATGTCTGGAAACAATTGTGAATAACCACATGCATGTCATTTCAGGAGACAAAGCAGAATTACTGAGGAACATCCTATTTACCAGAGAAATCAGAATTAAACTGGAAGATGGAAATGCAGAAGATACAATTCTCAAAACTGGTATCAGTGATGACTGTATCTGTTACTCACTTTTCAGTGTGCAGACCATGACCAGTACGGATGACAATCTTATCTCCTACCAAAATAAACTGTAAGTTTCACCTAGATATTTCAACCCTTAAGGGTTCCTCATTTCTGAACATCAGCTTACCATATGTGTAAATGGACAAAATTGCTCCACTGGGAAGAGCCTAAAAAGTGCTCTGCAAAAACATTTCTGAATAAAATCCAGTAACAAATACTTTTCTTTTTTCTAAGCAAATATTACAAACAGGGCGAGTCATCACATTTGGTTACAAATCAGCATGTATGTTCCTCTAAGTCTGTGAAGCCAGGATGCAAATTGGTTTGAGATTTAAACCCTCTGAAAAAAGGGTAAATTTACTACTTTCTCCTATGGGCTTTATGCTAGGTAAGAGATTCTAGAAGTGCATCTTTTCACCTGGGATTTTAGGAACCAAACTTTTTCACCTTTATTCCTGAAGAAAATTTGACCTAACAGACACTTTGACAGCATTCACTTCCAGTTCTCATTGGCACTGACTATATAGAGCTTGAGATCAGTAGTCCTGTATATTAACAAATGGGTACATAAAACCCCCCGAACCCCGTAATAGTCAACTGCTGTTACTCCTAGAACAGCCTTGGACATAGTACACTGGTTTCAGACCTCCTGCCTAGGGTTTGTTACAATTCAAGTGATCTTCAATGACTGAAGCCCGCATCAAGTCAGCCTGGCTGCCTGGGCACCTAGATGCTACACCCACACTTTAAGATCCATGTACTCCCACACACTTCTTCCTACAGCACATCCCCAGAGCAACTTCAAAGCTTTGTGTTGAGAAAAGAAAAGGCAAGGCAAAAAACTTCAGCATGTGCTTACAAAAGCAGGCTGTCCCTGCCTTACAATACTGGTTGTCTCTCAATACAGTCCCAGGCACTGCCTCAGCTGACAGATATAAATTGCGCTTCCTCCCTTAAAAACATGAAGAAGCAAACAGAGTGTTCTGAAATCCTCTGTATGTAGGAGTTGAGTACCCAGAAGACAGTAAATTAGTATTTCAGAAGAACAGAAGAGAAGCAACTAGGGAACCCCCACCAATTTTGACTGATGGACAACCTAAAAATCAGCAAGGATCAGTTCAAGGTCTGGAATAGTTGTAGACTGCAAGGCTGAATTTTGTTTTTGAGATGGCTATAAGCTTTTGTTACATAGGTAACAGTATTCCTGAAAGAGAAATAAACATGTAAAGACCCCCCAAAATATGGACATGATGCTTACATGAAGTTAACATTGGATAGAACTACTGCCAGAACCAGTAGGGCTAAGAACTGACTCCAACTGTAAGGGAAGGACCTAGCTGATTTCATCAAAGGCAGTGTAACTATAGCAACAGGGGGAAAAAAGTTCACTAAAGCTAAAGACAGAATGAAGAAAAAGGGGTCAGGAACATGTTCTCAAGCTATGATGATAAGAGACCAACACAAGCTGGCAAGCACAAAGACCTGTCATTGCCTGTGTGTGTGGTTTGGGGGGAAGCAGGCTGTGCTTGGCCTAGGGACGTGTGGAAGGTAAACAAAGCAAGGCAATGTGGGACAAGGGAAAATGATAGTGAAGAGTGGTACCCATGGCCAAGAAATCTGCCTGAAGCAACACATACACCTCTACACAGGGGCCAAGTCTCAAATCCAGCCACAGGTGTCAAAGACTTCTGGGTGAAATTCCTAAAGACAAAAATAAACAGAGCAGAGGTTTCTTTATGTTAACTCAACACTCCCCAAATACTGCTGTCTAACTGAAGAAGCGGTCTGCAAGGGAGCATGACTGAACTTACACAGGCACCTGTGTTGAAAAGGATGTGTTAAAATTCAATAAGCACAAACAGGCTGGAGGACAAGACCTATATTTGTACAACATGGTAAATGATGCAGTGCAAACATACTCTAAGCTGTGTCACAGAAACTAGTCTTTCCGCCTCTGCTCCCAAAACTGATTTTACCTGATGGATGCCAGGAGCCTCTAAGAGACAGATGCTCATATTATCTTTAATGATCTACTGTTGGAAACATACCTATCAGAGGTCTCAGTCACTGAATGACTGCAAACAGCTGGTTTTGTTATTGAAAGAGTGATCATTTTTAAACAAAAAAGTGGTCTTGAAAAACATTCCTTTAAGGGTTATGGGGTGCACACACACATAAAATTAAGTCAGTGTTATATTCCTAAAGGACTCCTAGCCACCTAAGTGCTCTTTCGTATCTCAGCTTCTTTACCACACGAAGTCAGCACATCGATAAGATCAACTGGAAATTCACTACAGCTTTAGCCCATGTTGGCCAAAATTTGTACTTTAAAGAGCTACTTACACCAACAAGGAGGAAAAGCACCAACTCAGTCATATTTTCATGGACTGACAACTGACCCCATAGCCACTACTAGATCCAACAGAGACTGGCAAATAATACACACATTTTTCAGCCTGACTGGCCTGTCAACTACCAAGCAGCCTCATCGCCCAGATAAAATTGCTCCAGCCCTCAGACACCAACTGACCCTGTTTTAGCCTGTCCTTTAACAGAGGACATTTTTTGAAACAGCTGCTCCAAGTCTCACAGTTTTGTGCATGCAGACTTCAAAAAGTGTTGGGTTGAAAAGAGATAAACAACTGAGCTGTGCTGTGCAACAGCAATTTCCAGTTCACTATGACCACACAAGCAGCACCCCTGCTGAAGAAAGAACATACGGTCCTTTCTTGCCAGCTCCTGCAAAGAACCAAAACCATTATTTATTTATTTTTTGTAATGCTTAAACACCACCAGGAACATCTTTCAGTAATACAGTTTATGAAGCCCAACTGTGCTGTTTAATTCTCTTCTACAAATAAAATAACAAACATCTATTCCTCAGGAAAAAGCATCGTGGAAGCCATTACATGGAACCAGTGCTTGCTGGTGTTTCCCATACTGTGAATACACTGAGGATGCTGTTACATTTTCCAGTCATTAAGATACTAAAGTGTTGTAAGCCATAGAAGGCTATTTTAAAGGCAAACAAACAAAACCTCACTTTTCATGCTTTATCTATCACCAGTACATTCATCCTGGAATCTTTTACCAATTATTCACAAATTAACACTGACATGGAAATGGCAAGGCTAAGCTTCTATTATGGCACTATCACTACCCAACAAAAAATGTCTTCAAGGACATTTTCTACTATGTTCCATTGCACAGTAAGATATATTCTAGTCTGGTAAGTACAGCTCCAAACAATCTCTCCTTCCCTCTTGCAAAAGCCTTAGTCTTTGCACTTGAATAAAGGTCAAGACGAATGCAACATCTGCCAGCATGGACCATACAATTACCACTGGTTAAAGCAAGTGTCACTCCACTTTAGCCGATCAGTCTTTTTGTATAGGATAATTGGAATTCTGCTTTTCAAAATCATCCTACTCAACTAAAACCACTTGGCAGACACTTTAAAAAAAGAAAATCTAGATAGGAAAAAAGTACAAGTGCAACTTGTAACTTCTCCTGAGCCACTCACTGCCAGCTGCTGCTCTGAGGTTCCCATCAGAGCCTGGCTCTAGGGAAACGAAGAGGAAGGCAGAAGCAGGGAAATGACTGAAAACCAGAAAAACTGCTACCCCTTCGTACAGTGACATGTTTCTCTAAACTTTGGATTCACTTGCTTGTAACTGCCCAAATCCCCCTCCCAACTTCCTTTTCTTTTTCTATTTCCCCCTTGAATTTGCTCCCTTCTGCGTGTGACAGAGCTGCCTCCTTCCTTCAGCAGTTGCTTCAGCTCACATCTGCGTTCCTGCAGGGCTCTTCATCTTACCTTCTCCACCTTGCTGGCTTATTTTCCCTTCTGCCACATTTCTTGGTTACTCTTGCATGACACCTCTGACTTAGTTCAGAGATCTAGAAGCTGACACCTCCCTCCCATTCTTCCTTTTACTTCAGTCTTTCATACTCAGAACTTCAAATTATTTCACTCGTTTCCCTACCAGAAGATACACATTTCCACTAAGCACAACAGCTACATAACTTACACAGCTAAACCCAGAAGACTAGTGAACCCCAAACCACTAGTTCCTATCACCTCAGCCAGAAGGAGGGTCACCGCTCACTGATAACAATTCAGGCAGCCATAGCTGCTCTTGCGCACTTACAAATACCAATGTACCATGCTGACCTTTCTGCAAACGTAGCTCTAGAATTAATGCAGCCTCAGCAAGTGGGCACCCTAAAGAAATACAATTTGGATGTCCTTGCCAGGATAGAAGAGGGAAAGATTCCAGATAAAATAGTTTTGTGTTTCCAACAGGTTGGTTTTCAGTCAATAAAGCAGGTAAATATAAGACAACAGAGGAAGCAGTCTCATAGCTTGTGTAGCCGCTTTCTGGCTCTGTCCCTGACTATCACCCATGCTTGCTCCTAAAGTATGGCTTATATTAAACCCA